CTTTTAGAAAAGATGGCGAACTTAGCAGTTCGTGTTACAATGTTCACTTTATCTTTGACCCCAACAACAGTAATTTTGGGCAATTGCCCTGGTGGATAAACTTTCCTTCGAAAAGATCACAAAGGAGTCGTAGAAGAGAATTTCAGACATTAAAGGCAAATTCGATTAGCATTGCCAACGTTTATCCGACACCCACAGCCAATCCCAAAATGAATGAATGGAACACTCTCGACAACTGAAAATTGTGCTCTGACTCATATACTGCAGGTTAGGACATTTATTTTAATAAAGCCCTTCGTAAATTTTATGTTTTTATCCCTCCTAAATCTTGTTCCGCCATCCATTTACTCAAGCTCGCTAGGTGGGTTATGCGTTGTTTTCCTCTGTTCCTCTTGTCTTTAATCTGTCCTGTGAGTGTCAAATTTCCCAAGCCCACATTTCTCATTATGTGCCTTAGAAACCTCAACTGTTTTACTGTCTAACTACCTAGTCAAGTTGCGAGTAACTGTTTTGAAAAAGTAATCATTTTTGTATCAGGTCATCCCATAAGTTCTTTCCGAATTTTAACTTTTTGTTAAAATGAACGAAATTTAAAGAGTATTTTATAATGTGTAATGGAGCTGAACATTATTTTTATGTTTAGATGCATTTAAACTGATCAAATTTTATTTCAGAGAGCAATAAAATTAAATTTTGTTTGATTAAAACCCTGCTAACATGGAAGTACCCAAGAATCATTTGAGGCACATAATGCTTTATGAGTTCAAGAAAGGAAACTCAGCAACCGAAGCGGCTAGAAACATTCACTCAGTTTATGGAGAAGACTGTGTGAATGAAAGAACTTGCAGAAGATGTTTTGCAAAATTCAGAGGTGGAGATTTCATCCTTGAAGATGAAGATCGAACCGGATGTCCAGTTGAGTTTGATGAAAAGCTTCTTGAAGCAGCCCTTGAAGAAAATCCTGCTTTATCAGTTGAGGAATTGGCAGTGGTTCTCAGTTCAAACCATACAACTGTTCATCGTCTTCTTCAACAACTTGGAAAAGTTCCTAAACTTGGAAAATAGGTGCCTCATGAATTGTCTGAAAACAACCTCAAATCCTGAATTGACATCTGCTCTTCTCTCCATTCTCGCCAACTTGTTTCACCTTTTTTTAGATAGACTTGTGACTGGCGACGAAAAATGGATCTTTTATCGAAATGTTAAGCGTTGTAGACAGTGGCTTGGTAAAGGGGAAGGGTCCCAGCCACAGCCGAGAAGGGAACTTCATGGGCAAAAGGTTCTTCTTTCAATCTGTTGGGATGGTCAAGGAATAATCCACTTTGAATTCTTACCACCTAATGCAACAATTAATGCTCAAATATACTGTCAGCAATTAGAGCATTTGAACCAAGCTTTGAGGAAAAAAAAGACCTGCTCTAGTGAATCGAAAAGAGGTGATGTTTCATCAGGACAATGCGCGACCTCACACAGAAAGAATCATGTCACAAAAGATCGAAGAACTTGGTTGGGAGAAAATTCCTCATCCACCTTATTCTCCCGATCTTGCTCCTTCAAACTACCATTTGTTTCGTAGCTTACAGAATCATTTGGAAGAAACAGCTTTTGTAACACGGGAAGAGGTTAAAACTGACACTTATGAGTTCTTCGAATCAAAGGCAAAAGAATTTTACAGTAATGGAATTAGTAAGCTTGTTAATAGATGGAAGGAAGTCATATATAATCAGGGAAAATACATTGTTGATTGAATCTATAATTAAATGTAACATTTGGTCACTTGTTTTCTTTATTCAAAATTCGGACAGAACTTATGGGATGACCTGATACGTTATAATTATAATAAAAAATTAAAAATAAACTATAAAATTAAAGATAGAATATAAGGAACTCTATTTTTAATTTTTTTTAAAAAAGATGATTATAATTAATAGGAAAATTCATTCTGGTAATATTTATATTAGTCTATACAATTGATCATTAAATATTGAAGTTGTTGTCCTATATAAATTTATAGACTTTAAATTTTTTTTTACTAAAAGGATACCTTTTAGGTTCTATTGAGCTTAATTTGAACGTTATTTTTTTTTGAAAATATTTTTTTTGCTTTTTTTTTTTTTTTTGTTGTGCTTTGTGCCTGATGGATTGGAACATTGTCTTGGTAGAACTTTCAGTTTTTCAAAAATTTTTTCTGAATAAGAAAAAAGCAATTTCGGATAGAAGATGTCAATACCTGGCAGCAATAAGCTGTCTGCTATGAAAAAATTATCAATGTTCTTCAAAATGGTCCAAAAGCTATCAAAACCATTAAAGGTTCCAAATTAAACACGCCGAAGAACATCCGGTCATTTTTTAATAACTGGCAGCATTAATTTTTTGATGATGAAGGTTATCTGTATTTTTTTTTCAAAATCCAAAAAACTTATATGGTATTTTAAAGCTAAAAACAACCATTATATATTTATTCTCATTTTAAAAAAAGAAAAAAACCATTTATTAAACAAAAAAGAGACCCTCCCCGGTAATTTTTGAACAGGATTAGAGGTTCATCCCTTTTTTATGTTTATTAAAATCCTGGTTTTCTTCTAAAAAAGGGAATGTTTCCGTTTGAACTCTTGATATTTTATTTATTTTTTATTTCATAGGTATATAAATAAATTCACTTATAGCCCGGTTCAACCTCTCGATTATTTGAACAGGAGTAGAGTTTTATCCCTTGTTTCCTGTTTCTTAAAAAAATTTTCTTCTGTTCTTTCTAACGTTTTTTCATTCCCTTTCACTTCCAGCATTATCTTGCGTTCTGGTGGCATTATCGCCTTGCTTGGGATGAATTGATTAAAATAAACATGTCTTACAAAAATTTGCAAAATTTAACCGTTAAGTTGGTTTAAAAGAACACCTTTTTGTAAAAAAAAGAATGAATGTCTGTGGTCCAGTTTTTTGAAAGAAATCCAATTTAGATCGTCCTGATTGTAGTACAATCTACTATGATTTGCGCAAAACATTTTCCAAGGAGACCATCATTCCTCATTAAGTTCATCATCTCCTTTATGATTCTGCTTTTGTCTCTGTGCGCCTTCGTTAGTCAGTTATTTTCTTAGTTCGCACGACCATTACGCCATGTCGATATTAAATGCAAAAAAATTTATCCCGCTTTAGTGAAAAAATAAAAAAAAATTTTAAAAAAAAAAAAGAAAAAAGAAAGGAAAAAAAAAAGAAAGAAAAGAAAAAGAAAAACAAAAAAAAATATCGTCTGTTTCAGTTAAATGCAAAAAGTTGTCAAGAAAAAATTTTTTAGATTTGTACATATTGTACTTATAAAATAAATTTATTAATAAAAATTTTTTTAAAACGGGTTTTCTGTGAGTTACATTCAAATTGGTTTTTACCCGTGGACATTTATGCTTTTCCTATTTTAAATTTCGGATGAATCTTAATTCTTAAGTTAATAATTGAATAGGCTCACAACTAGTTCTATGACAATAAAATATCCATAGAGATTCCGCCTGTCGCGTCGTTAAACAATTGAGCTTAACAACTTTAACAAAATATTTCAATAACAAAAATTATGAATATTGGCCGTTATTTTAAAAAATAAGAGGGTACAAATGAAAAAAAATAAAACTGACAAGTTTTTCCATTTCACTGAGACAGACGTTAAACATTTCTATCTTCATTTCTTTCTTTCTTTTCTTCATTAAAACCAAGTGAATTGATTTTGTTTGTCTTTTTTTTCTTCTTCAAAAATCAAAATGGAATAGTCCATTATTTAAAATTAATATGGGGATTAATGGTCGCCAACTAATAAGGAAGGCATTTGTGGTTTGGTTTTGTTTTTGTTTTACGGCATATCAACCTTTTTCTGGGTTATTTAATGCCAAAAAAATTTTTATTGGATAAAAAATATGTTTTCTTCAAAAATTTATTTTATTTTTATATTTTTTTTTAAGAAATCCATTACTGGTTCATATTTTTTTTCAAAGAATGTATAGCTGTTTGTGTATTGCTTGGTATTTTTATTAAAGCATTGCTTATAATAATCCTTCCCTCAAAAATCACTGCTGACAATAATTTTATTATTACGAATTTTTTTTTTTTTGATTATTAAAAAAATATTTTTATTAATGTTTAAATGTTTACTTCAATGAATTTGCCCATATTCAAAAAAATCCATTTAAATTTGGGTTTTATCAACATAAAATAAGTGTACCACCCCTTTTTATGGACCTGGGAACACTGATAATGTTGTTGAGAGAACCCGCTCTTAAATCTTTGAATCCCAATTACTGATTATAACCCAATATTTTAAATAAATTAAAATTAAAATTTTGTATTTGAAATTTTTAACTTTTATTTTAAATAATGCATTTCTAGAGATTAATAAATTTTACGCCGAAAAGAATGACGGTTTATACTGAATTTCAAAGAAAGCTTGAAGTGATCCCATAATATTATTACTGAATAAAATTTTATAAAAACCATCTTTTTTTTCTTCTAAAAACTTTTTTGGATAAATATCCTCAGACTGTTTTGTTTCACATAGTTAAAAGGTTCGAGCTGAAGAAAAAATTCAGCCGAGTTTTAAAATAGATTGCATGATAAAAGAAAAAAATCAAAGGAAACTAACATTGAACAAAACCTCAATAAAAAAAACAAGCCAAGACGAATAAAGAATCAAGTAGAAGTATTTGAACTTTCCGAAAATAAATTTCCGGAAGAAGTGGGGCATGGGGCGAGTGGCACTAACACTACTTGTACAGTTTATTATTTGTCGAACAGCGATGTCGAAATAGCGACCACCATTTAACTTATTTAACTGTTTTTACAAAAATTTTTACTTAATAAAATTTTTTTTTTTGTAAAAAAACAATAAGCAAAAAAAAAAAAAAAAAAAACTCATGCACAACATCTTTACAAAACCATAGACTAGAATTTATGCAAATTCCTTTGAAAAGCAATTACATTTAAACAAATATGCATGCTGCAAATGTTATTTTCCTTTT